TGTCACTTTGTTTTCTTCCTACAGGACCTGGTTGTTCTTCACTTGGTGTTGGGGCATTCTCTGAAAACGGCCCTTTCAGACCAAATGGAGAGGTTCTAGTAAGAAATCATTACAGCTGGAACAGAGGTTTTCTTACAGATTTCTCACTCTTTAATCTCCTTTTTTTTATTTATCAATTCCTAATGACGATTAATCTGTTTTTTTGCAGAAGCTAATATGTTGTATTTAGAGACACCAATTGGAGTAGGGTTCTCTTATGCCACCAACAGCTCTTCCTATGTAGCAGTGGATGATGAGACCACTGGTATTTCATTTTCTGTATACTATGTTTATAGATATAAGTGTAGGGGTGAGAATTCCATCGAGTGAGTCCAAAAAATTTCGAGTTTGTCGAGTTGACGAGTGTTCTGTTTATAGATATAACAGTGTTATTTTCTTCTAAATTTGATTTTTTTTCTTTAATGTTCTCAAGCCAGGGACAATCTTGTGTTCTTGCTAAACTGGTACAAAAGATTTCCAAATTACAGGCAGAGGGATTTGTATGTAACTGGAGAAAGCTATGCAGGTACTTTAGATTCGATACAAATGACGCCAAATCCATACGAAAACTGATCATCTGTTGGCTAACTTACTGATAATATCAGGTCATTATGTTCCTCAACTGGCAAAACTTATTGTAGAATTCAACAAGAAGCAGAATCTGTTCAATTTAAGAGGAATTGCTGTGAGTATATTACTATGTTGAAATCAAATTTGCATGCTAAACAAACAGTAATAGTAATGATCGGGATTCGGACATCTACCTCGTGTACATACCGAGATTTGCCGAGTCCTTTTGTCCTCACTGTAAAAATCGAGATTCGATATAAGTGAATGTGGGTTGATGGCACGAGGGGAATGACCGAATCTCGATTTTTACAGTGCTCAACATTATGTTACGGATATGTTTTGTATCTAAGAGAACGATTTCTTGCTTGGCAGCTCGGTAATCCGGTTCTAGAATTCGCAACTGATTTCAATTCAAGGGCCGAGTATTTCTGGTCCCATGGATTAATATCAGACTCAACCTACAAAATGTTCACCTCTGTCTGCAACTATTCTCGATATGTCAGCGAGTACTACAGAGACTCGGTTTCACCGTCGTGTTCGAACGTGATGAGCCAAGTAAGTAGAGAAACCAGTAGATTCGTAGACAAATATGATGTCACACTCGACGTCTGCATATCATCAGTGCTCTCACAATCAATGGCTATAAATCCCAAGGTAAAACTCTTCCCTGCAAAACCAATTGCATATGTATATATTATTTTCCAATGTGATTAAGATCTTTTGTTTTAAACTACAGCAAGTATCCGAAAGGGTAGACGTATGTGTCGAAGACAAAATCGTGAATTATCTAAACCGGAAGGATGTTCAGAAGGCTCTTCATGCTCGGCTTGTAGGGGTTCAGAGATGGACCGTCTGCAGCAAGTACTATTTTTTTGACATAGCTAAACATACATTGTACTATAAGAAAGTTTATATGTGCAAATATGTATCGGACATGACCGATTGAACCAGATTTTCTTTTTCGTCGACAGCATACTGGATTATCAGCTGCTGAACCTGGAGAGCCCTACAATCACCATCGTCGGTTCACTAATCAAGGCCGGAATACCAGTCTTGGTTTACAGGTAACAAAATCTCAATGCTGTAATGTAGCCATAAAAATAAACATCATCATTCATCAAGGCGTTTCGGCCTTACAGCGGAGATCAAGATTCTGTCATCCCATTAACCGGAAGCCGCTGCCTGGTTAGCCGACTGGCAAAGGAGTTGGGACTGGAAACAACCGTACCTTACAGAGTTTGGTTCGAAGGGAAGCAGGTATTTTCATCGACATGGCTTCGTCTTTTCATTTTACTCGAAATATTTCGTATCCGAAAACCAACCGTGTTCGTGATTTGTTTCAGGTTGGTGGGTGGACTCAAGTATATGGAAATATGCTGTCGTTTGCAACAATCAGAGGAGCTTCTCATGAAGCTCCATTCTCGCAGCCAGAGAGATCACTCATGTTATTTAAGTCATTCCTTGAAGGAAAGCCTCTCCCCGAAGTTTTCTGAACCAAAGAGTTGAGATTCATGGTGATTTGTCTGAGAAAAAACACAGAATCTGTTGTGTCAAATTTGCACAAGATTACTTGAGCAGTGTTTGATTCCGGTTAATAGATCATGGATTACCAATTTGCAACAAAATCTCTGTTGAAAGATGACCTGGAAGGGTCTAATATGCCCTCAATCCCTATACTCTTTTGATTTTATACATTTAATCCATCTACTTTTAATTCAACCAATTTAATCCATGTACTTATCCAAGTTGAAGTTTGATTGATACCACTTCTGATGAACTTCAATCGAGTTTAAATACGCGACATTTTAATCATTTAACTTAAAAATTAAAATTCCATGAAACTACATTTGATGAAGCAAGTAGAGAGTGGCGAGTGAACACCATAAATTTCATTAAATGTTCAAACCCAATCATTCTAGCAACTTGTATGAACAGAGTGTTCGGTTAACTATTTGTTTAACGTTCATTTATGTTCGTTTTAAACTAAACAAATTAGTAAAAACAAAAAAATTATGTTCATTTAATAAACAAAGAAACATGAATAAATGTGTATTCAGTTTGATTATGTTCACGAATAAACTCGTTTATAAACTTGTTAATAAGCACTAAACGAACAATAAATGAACGATAAACAAACATGTTCATGAACGCTAAATGAACACGCTCGCGAACATTAAACGAGCATGTTTGCAACAATAAATAAATGAATACGAACACTTTAAAAAATAAATAAACAAACACTAACATAACCGATTAATCTTTTAAGCTCGATTCATTACCCCTAAATAAAAGTCAAAAGGGAAAAGGGAAAAAAACAAATTGAAGGGTAAATATACTTTTCCATGTGCCCCAATGTTCACGGGTTCAGTCCAAAAATATTAAAGACACTCCCAATGCTCAATGCTCCCTGCAACTTGTTTAAGATACTCCATCACTTCCTCATATCACGTAAATAATTTACTATATGAACTAAATTATTCACTGATTAAAAGAATAATTATTATTTTTTAAAAAATTGATTTGAGCATCAAATACTACAATAGTGATTGAGTTTTTATTATCAAATAATTAAAGATCGTTAGAACATATATTATCCTTTATAATCACCTTAAATTAAAAAAACATATAAAATTATATAAAATAAATAAATAAATATATATCATTATGTAAATAACAAAATATAAATATGAAATATTTTAAATACGATTACAAGAGGGAAGGCTACTCTCCTCGGGTTCTCGCTCTAACACACATCCAGCCTTTAGTACACTAAAATTTGGTCCATTGTCTCATTTGCCTTAAGGTGATCTTCTTATAGATTTAGTAGGCCCTTCCCAATAAAATAAAGGGTAAACTATCAATTTGGCACCCATTATACTCTCACATTTATGTTTTACTCAAATGTTTTTTTCTAAAATCATACCTAATGTTACATTTTATTTCTATTTTGGTACTCCACTGTTAAATTTGACTATTGACTAAACAAAATGATGATATGGCATGGTATAATAACAATTTTAGTCCCAAAATTTACACATTCTATTTAATTTCAATAAATCTAAATTTATATTTAAAAATTCTATCAATTTGATCCTCATTTTAATTTGAAATAATTTAATAATAGTTTGTTTAACATTTTTTTAAGTATTGAGAATTTATTGAATTATTTTAAATTATGACCGATTTAATAGAATGTACAAGTTTTAAGACCAAAACAGTTATTATACCATGCCACATCGCTATTTATGTTAAACCAACAGCCAAGCTTAATGGTGGGGTACCAAAATAAAAATAAAATGTAATATTTAGTATAATTTTGAAGAAAATAAATGACTAAAACAAAAATATAAAAATAAGTGAGGTACCAAATAGGTACTTTATCCTACAAGAAAATTTATACTTGTAGAGAAAAATTACTTGAAAATGACCGGAAGCTTAGAAGGGACAGATATGAAGGTGTGAAAATGATCCAAGAAATGAAGGGTATCACAAGAAACTTGGGAGCCCCTTTCATGCAAATTGTTTTCTGACATCGACATAAATAAATTTACCATTAAACATAAAAAAATATTACCATTTTCAAATAAATCCCAACAATCAAGAGTAGAAAACTGTAAATAGGGACAAATTTAAAATCAACTCTTAAAAAATTAAATTACTTAATTAAAAAATATAATAATTTATTAAATATTTAAAATCTGATTACGAGAAACTTAAATTATCATCAAATCAAAAAAAAATTAAGAGATAAAATCTCTCGTGTCCACTTTGATTCCGTCATATGTTGATTAAATTCAAATCGAATCGTATTATACATTTGATTTTGATAGATGAATCTATCGACAAGAATTTTATATATATACATACCACTTAATCAACCCACAATGATAATATTAACTATTTTTATTTGTTTTTTATAATATGGAGTAAGAACAAAGTATTATATTTTGAAATATAACTCACAATTATTTGACATTAAACGCTCATAACCCTGATAATACTGATACTTAAGCCAAGAACGTCAATAAATAACAACAATTTTTTTACAACAAATATGTCTTAGATTTGTACAGTTTAACTGAATTTAAATGTAAATAAAATATTATATATTATGGAATTGTGAAAACATATGGTGACTGAAACTTGGAAAAGAGGGTAACGCATAAAGTTGCAAAACGGTCGTTAAAGCCTCCGGTGTCTTCATCAACAATGACAAATAGGGAAGGTTGTTCTTTCTGTCAAAAAAACTTTCAATTTTATTTATTTAATTTTTTTTTAAAAAAATTATCTTTCCCTCCTTCAAAGCTGCTTTTTTTTTTTTATTTAAGTTCATAACCGCTCAAGCTCCGCAAAACAAAAACTCAGGCTTTGCTTCTCTCATTGTCCAAAAAAAAACCCAGTTTTGTTTTTTGTTTACAAAGACCATGTTTTCGAAGGTGAACAGCGGTGTCATTTTGACGGAAGACAAAGGAAACGAACACTCAGCTTCATGGACCAGAACCAACGTTAACAACAACAACAACAACAATGGTGTTGTAATTGAAAACAAAGAAACTGTGGGTTCTTTATTTTCGCTCAAATCCATGTTAGATGACGAATGGTACGTTCCAAACAACAGTATCTTTCCACCGATTCTCCGGGACCATCAAAATAATCTCTTACTGCACCATCATCATCAGCAACAGCAACAGCAACATCATCCAGTGGATTCTACCTCTTCTTGTTCGCCATTTTCTTCTGTTTTCAACAATCTCGACCCGTCTCAGTTACAGTTCTTTTTGCAGCCAAAACCAGGTTTATCTTCGCTCCTCAATGTCGTTTCCAACAACCCTTTAGATCACGGGTTTGATTTCGGCGAAATCGGATTCCTTGACAACCAAGCAACAAACGCTAGTCCTTTGTTGAACAGGGAAAATTCTGGGGTTTTGGGTGGTTTCACTGACATAATCTCTGGCAATCAGATAGACACTGCTAATTCGGGTTCCGGGTTCACGGGTTTTCAAGGGTTCGTTGAGAATCCTGGGAATTCTCTGTTTTTAAGTAGGTCTAAATTGCTAAGGCCGCTGGATAGTTTTCCTTCTGTCGGAGCACAGCCGACTCTGTTCCAGAAAAGGGCGGCTTTGAGGAAGAATTTGGCTGATAATGGAGGGAATTATGGGGATTTGGGCGGAGGAAAGGTTAATGCTTCGAGTGGAACCGAGGGGGATAAAGGGAAGATAGAAATGAATAAAGTGAATGAGAAGAATAAAATTTGCATTAGAGATGAACTGGAAGATGTTAGCATTGATGGGTCAGTTTTGAATTATGATTCGGATGAGTTCACCGAGACTAACAAGGTTGAAGAAACTCTCAAAAATGGTGGGAGCACCTCGAATGCAAACAGTACAGTTACAGGAGGAGATCAAATTGGTAAAAGGAAAGGGCTTCCAGCTAAAAACTTGATGGCCGAGAGGCGCCGTCGGAAGAAACTCAATGATCGGCTTTACATGTTGCGATCAGTCGTTCCGAAGATCAGCAAAGTAAGATTGTCCTTTCACTTTAGTTATTGCTTGTTTTCATGGTGTGGTATTTGTGCATTATGTGAATGAATGGTATCTTTTGCTTTTACATATTGCGATCAGTCGTTCCGAAGATCAGCAAAATAAGATTGTCCTTTCACATTATCGATAATGTTGAGTTTCTGCAGTTCATTGATTGTTTGAAAGTATGATTTACGTGTTGCGGTTACTTGCAAAGGAAGAGTTTTGGAGTTTCATGTTCTCTCAGTTTTTGCTTCTTAGCAATGGTATAGTTTAACATTATCCTTTCTACTAATAGATGGATAGAGCTTCTATTCTAGGGGATGCCATAGAGTACCTAAAGGAACTTTTGCAAAGGATCAACGATCTGCATAACGAATTGGAGTCGAACCCCGGAAGTTCTTTGGTCACACCTACTACCAGTTTCCTTCCTTTGACGCCCACTCCAGCTACCCTTCCCTGTCATATCAAGGATGAACTTTGCCCTGGTTCGTTACTGAGTCCCAACGGGCAACCGACAAGGGTAAAATGTTGCTTCCGCCTTTCTCGTACTGTATGCCATTAGTTCATTATCGGTTCCAGAACACATAAAATGGAGTTTTGTGTGTGTGTGTGTATTATGCAGATTGAAGTGAGGCTGAGAGAAGGAAAAGCTGTGAACATTCACATGTTTTGTGGGCGCAGACCTGGTCTTTTGCTCTCCACAATGAGGGCTTTGGACAGCCTCGGGCTCGACATACAGCAAGCAGTCATTAGCTGTTTCAATGGCTTCGCCATGGATATCTTTCGAGCGGAGGTAACAATCTCTTCTCTGACCATGTATTCCTTCAACCGTTGTTACTCTGAATCTCCTTTTCCCTCGCATTACCGTATCCGGCAATCAATCCAATGTGTATTTAGACAGATACGGGGATATGGCTAATATGATACCCCAAGTCGCTTTAGTACATGGAAAAACCTTCTAAAAAATCGAACACATCCATATCTTATACTTGCACCTAACAGGCTCATAATCTTATGTTAGAGGATAACGACATGCATGATAATCGCCCAATAAAATTGACATACGTGGAAAATCATTTCGAGAAAAAAACACAGGCAAAAGAGGAAAAAATTCACTAATGTCAAGAGAAGAAGAATATCAGAGGAGTCCTACTTGATTACAAATGAAATTATATAAATATAAATTTACTTCCATATATTTTTTTTACTATTAATCTTTCCCAAATTTATATATTGATTAATTTGTCTCACTTTTAAATTTGAATGAAACTCTTACATCTTATCTCAATCTTTCATTTTTGATTTCATCTTCATTGATGTGTTCATATTTTGATCCAGCACTGCAAGGAAGAGCAGGACATCCATCCTGAGCAGATCAAAGCCGTGCTTTTGGATTCAGCTGGCTTCAACAACATGATTTAGGGTTCTTCAGCAGCTCTATCAGAACAATAACCAACAAGCAAATTGCAGTTTCTTTTTTCAAGTTTTACAAATTGAGAACAACATGAGAGGTTCTGCATTAATTTGGACTGGCGGCAAACTCGCCATTAACTGAATTTTTGAAAGAATTAACTTTTTAAGTTCTTTGAATGGATTTCTGGGTTTAATTATGATAAGCTTCTCATGACTGATGGCACTTGGAATATAGTTTGCAAAAACCAAGTCTCCCCACCCCATAGGATGGGCATGTAGTATCGTTGTTGCACCATGCTATTTTCACTTCTCAAAATTTGGTTGGTAATGGTTGGTATAATCATCTTCTTGCTTGAGAAATGATACTTTTGGTATAATCCAGGTTTCTATTTTGCATGCATGCATACACCATTGAAAGCTACTACTGTTATTTTTATTGGAATGAGAAATGAGGTTGTAGCCGCTTTAGATACTTTATTTTTTTTATTTGAATGGAAAATTGCTGTTAATAGTTCAAATAAATTAAGAAAGATGAACAGTTTTACACATATTTGCATAGTTTAATTTTGATAAAAATAAACTCAAAATTAAAAAAAACAATTTTTAGTTCTTTTAATTATTTAAACTTAATAAATTAAACTCTTAGTCAAACTCTGCATCAAAATCTTAAATTAACTCTAACAAATCAATAAAAAATTTAAGTCAAATTTTACAGGCGTAAATAAATGTCCAATGCATGGGGTCCTGGTTCGATGTAATTTGACGAGACTATGGGCACTGCACCTGACCACTCGGTTTAATGGAAGAGAAGATAATATTAATGTCTGAGTCGGACTATTATACATAATTTCCCAGTAGAAAGTAAACATTAACCTTAGAAAAATGAGATATTTTTTATTATTCAAACCCCAAGTCCCAACCCCACTAGTCGACCGGCCACCACAGATATAAGAATTCTTGTGGTCAAAAATGGGTTGCCGTGCTTACCAAGCAGTTTCCTCCATACAATGGATATGGCTAAAGAGCATTACTTGAAATGCACCAAATGTTTTTCACGATTTAAAAAAGTATGCTTTACTTGAAAAAGACGTTAGTAGAAATGGCTGTATTAACCTAATTTACATTCACAGCTTCAAAAAAATAAAATAGTTGGGTTCAAACATCTCTGTACAGAGGGTGGGGTTGCAAAATGCAAGGCTGGTGGTGCAGCAGTGCATGAAATTCAGATTCGGGTATACATATGAAAAATATTAAAATAAAAAACACCATATTGCTACTAACATATCCAAAATCGGATCATCGCATCAGAGCGGAATATATCGGATTACGAATTATGAGGCGAGCTTGATGCTAATATAGATTCACAAATCGGTTCCCAGCTTTAGTAACTTCATGTTCTTACCAGCAGGAATGTCACTATTGCAATCCATATTCCTCCACCAAAAACCTGAAACAATAAGAAACAAACAAGTTTACTATGTAGATCAATTTTAGACATCGTATTGAAAACAGGGTTATGATGCTTCGACATGACCATCACAAGAGTATACCATTAAGTGAATTTCATAAATTCTTAGCACTAGATGCTGACAGGCAATTCACTCCTTTTCCATCTCCACCTTCAGCAGCAATTGGATTGTCATCAAGCATTAAACTCAAGGACCCTGGCTTCATCTTCTGGACCTCCTCCCTTGTGTAGATACCAATCTTGCGAACCATGGCACAAAATTCCCTAATTCACAATCAAGAATTAGATGAAGTGTAAACCATCAAACACAAAATAGTGAAAAATGAAATAGAAAGATGATTCTATAAAACCCTTACTGCCAGGGATCATCGCCTACAAGCATCATATCACCCTCATTGTCAGTATAAACAACTAGCCAATTCTTTTGAGCTGCCATTAATTCGCCTCCAAATTCAAATATATGATCCAATTCAGCGATCAATTCTTCATAGTTCTTGATCTTAGTAAGGTCCACAGATCTACCAAGAGAATTCCCTTGCATGAGAACCTAAAAATAAAAAAATTGAGCAAGTCCCCGTATATTTTATAACTGCAAGTTTGAAAAATCAAGAACGAGAAAAAGAACCTTAGTACAACTCCTAGTTGAAGCAGTAGATGAAACATTCTCCCTTGTATGGGGCTGACCCAGATGAAATATTCTCTCCTGCTCATTTAAAGCAGAATTATCGCCGGACAACTGCGAGACCTTTGACTTTTTAGAGTTTTGATCAGATTCAAATGCATGAACTTGGTGCAATGCTGCTTGCACATGACCCACAGGCTTATTGAACGCACTAAAATGAGAGACTGCTGAATCTGAGGCACTAGAATTACTTATGAGAGGAATACCGAAGAGCTTGCAGTTTCCTTCTCTAGACTTTCCGTTCTTATGCTCTTGAACCAGCGATGTTTTAGGCATCAAGCCTCTTGCATGGACCGAATTCTCATAATGAGATGAGGTTGGGGGAGGCATCAACCAATTACCATGCGAGTGCTCAATCCTACGACCTTCAATTACAGGGTAGTCATGAAAACCACCAGATCTACCATTTCCTCGTGACTGGTAAGGCACATAGGAACCTTGCAAAGGAGGGCTTGCACTAGTGTCAGCTAACTTGAGTGAGAGACCAGAGTGCGAGAGGGACCAAGAGCCAAGCTTACCATCTTGATCTAGTAAATGATTTCTCATTGAATTACCATCTATTAAAGATTGATCAATCAAGGACGGACGACATACACGAGATGAATCAGCATTTGACCCAAAACCAGAGAGCATATCTGTGTATGTTGGTTCATGCCTCCCAGAGGACATCCAATTCTCTGACCCAAATTTTCTTTCACCATCATTCTTATCATCATCTGCTGAAGGTGGCCACATGACTGACTTTTCAGCAGTGTCAGACTCATTACTCTCAGCAAATGTTCCTCTCAAGGTCGGGAATTCTTGACCTTGCAAGACTCTAGAAAACGCACTGGTTGGTAAAGGGTCTACAGTAACCTTAGATGAACCTAAAAACAAACTAGGTCAATAGATCTTTCCCAGATGAGCTATTACGTGGAAAAACATGAAAATATATTACAAATCGGTCACATGAGACAACACCTATCAGGCTATCACCTACCTTCCCTAGTAAGCATGGACGAATCGGGGGGCAGGGATACGACAACAGATCGAGGCCTCTTTGGCCTCTGCATTGAAAGGGGATTCATGGCAGGAGGAGCCAAAGCGTGTTCAATTTTCCAAGGAGAAACTCTCTCTGGACGAGGTATGGCAGATGTTTCGTCCCATCGCACCTAAAAGCGATTAAAACATTGTGAAATAATTCCCACGACTTGAAAATTCTAAAATTTCTTTAATCATTCTTAAAAAATATCACACAATGGTCAAACTAAATAAGTCTACCTTGAGGCATCTCCATTTGGAATCTTGCCACCTTTGTGGATCAGAATCTTCAATTCCAACTATCGTCCCAGTAAACCTGCAGTACAGAAATTTGAAATACATAATCTCGGCTAGTTTTCACATCATGTCAGAAATACCCTTAAACAATAAAATACTAGAAACTTAATGAAAAATTGTTTTGAAACAGCCAGATAAGGAAGATAGGTCCCATACCTCTGCTCAGGAGATTCTTCACCTTCAAATCTCATTTTAAACCTCATCCCTATCGAGTAATTGTTCTTCACAGATTCCATGTACTGATCAAATGGAACAATAAATTCGGCTGGACTTGTCCTATAAGAGACAAGAAACTGAAATTAATTCCTTAAACAGAAATGTCACTTGAACTTTTATCACCCGGTGATCTATTTCGAGAAATTAAACATTTCATGCATGTAAAAATAATTCAGCTTGTAAAAATGGTAGATTGATCTACAAACCTAGGTTTGTAATACACAGTGAATATGGTTCTTGTTGAGAAGGCATGCCATGCTGTAGCTAGCACACCAAGATGCATGCTATGACTTGATATTACGGACGAAGGAACATTCCCATGCTGTCTCAATGCTCGTCGTACACCAACCCGTAGCTCTCCATTCTCACCTCTGGAAAATACACATGCCATTTTCACGTTTAAGCCCTTAAGCTCAAGAAAAGAATTCAATGGTAAAACACCATATTTCAAAGCACATTTGAGGAAAACAGAAAAACCTTAAAAATATAAACGCATCCCCAGCAACAAGCTTCTTGGAGCTAACGAAAACACTCCAACCACTTTGAAGCAAGTGCCTTCGTGGCTGACCTGGTATAATCACAGTAGAACCAAACTGTAAACAAAGGGATTTTTACATGCAAATTGCAGCTTATTTTGTAAAAACAAAAAACAAAGGCCAGAACTTGTGAGCGTATTTTATAACCAAACTCCTTGAATTCCATGGCGCATTAACTATAAGCATGAAAACCAATTAAGCTTAAAGCATTACCCCTGAATATATGACGGAATCGCCACTCATTTCCATGCAAATCCTTAGTAACCAACTCCTGTGTTGGAGGTTGCAGAGACATGTCCTAAAGAACAAACCCAAAAGAATCACAACCAAATCATCATAACAACATAAAGGAAACAGAAACAGGAACTAGACATAAGCAACAGACAGACACAAACCAGTGGTGGAAGACATTCATCTGCATGCCGCCTGAGCACCGAGAACCCACCATGTGTGCTCGTATCTGAGGCAGTCAGGGTCTTGCAAAAGGAATGCACTTGGAACCGTGGGGGTTCAGGAATGGGAGGTTCCTTGTCCACCATGTTCTCATCTTGCTAGAAACATCAGATGAAGCAAAGAACAAAAAAATTGAAACTCAACTCTTCCTCAACTCAGAACCTAAAGCACCAAAAAGAAAACAGACTACAAACTTACAATGGGTTCAGGAAGTAAAGTCACTTGTGCGAAAACCTCATCTGTATCCGGTTCAGCCTAACAACAAAAGGTTATTCATCTCATTAGTAAACCAAATCCCAAAAGAAGAAAAATACAAATAGCCATAAAAGAGGTGAAAGGTACCTTTAACTGCACGTTAATCACACGACAAAGGATCTTTGATGGAAGATCATACAGTGGCATCTGTTGGTCTGATGCCTGATTAGTAGATGCCTCAACCTGATTCACCATAAACACTAACGTTAGGAAGCAAATTAAAAACAAACCCCGAAATGGAAGATAATTTCTCGATGTGATCTTGAGGAATAAGAAAACGGAAGACAAAAATGAAGAAGAGAAACCTGTTCTATGTGACCTTGAGGGAAGTAGAACACGCGCTCTCCTTCGCGGGGGACCGTCACCAGAGGTCCAGCACATGCATTCCATAGTTCCGTATACAACGCCGTTTCAGGGTCTATGTTCCCACATACGAAACCAAATAAATATTATAACGGCAGTCGACAAAAAAAAACCCAGAAAAAAGAGAAAGAACTCGAGATCAACAATAATGGAGAAAAGGAAATCCGGAACCGGAAGTTAAAAGGAAGAAAGGGGTCATACCTCTGACGGCAGCTGAACGAGCACAATGACCATTCTGCCTCTCCATGGCGTTCTTATCATCATTTTGCTCATTATATCCAGAAGAAAAATTCTCTATACCGTTTACACAATTTCCTTTTATTGATACTTCCGACGTAGTCATTTTTTTCCCAAAAGCTTTCAGCTCAGATCTCTCATTTGATGCACTCTAAAGCTCCTCAATCGACAACTAAAAACCATAAACCCAATTTCCACACAATCTACCAGCAACACCGTCGTTAAAACACTAGCTTCACCTTTTCACCACACGAAATCAACACTCTTTCTCTGAAACTTTGATCAACAGCTTGATGAAATTTAATCACCACAAGCCTGTATTTCTCTCAGTTCATCAAGCAACCTTCGCGATTTAAGCACCAATCAATCAAAATCCACTTTTTTATCTATAGTCGCTTTCACTCTTCCGTTTCTGAAAAACAAAAAAAAAACCTCAGCCTCTCTATATTCTTCCCTTCCACCTTCAACTGCAGCAGAAAATGAAAAATCAAAGCTTCTAAACACCCAAAACCCCAAAACAAAAGGAAAACAAATCTTTTTTACTTCCTTTCTATCTCTATCTTTCCCTCGTTTCTGTCTGTGTCGAATGAGGGGTCGAGAGACTTAACCAAGGGTGAGTCCGAACTGTGGAAGAGAAGAGAAAGGGCAATCATTTAAACCAGGGTCAAATTTTAACCCAACTGAAAAACTGACAACCGGCGTTAACCAGTCTGGCTCTCTCTTGTAGTACCGGATACTCCCGGTGATCTTATAGAGGTAGGGATCGAGGGGACCAGATTACTAGTGGAGAGGGGCCGGCAGATTAAGATTAAAATAATAAAGGTAAACTAGATAAATGACCATTAATGTTTGAATAATTTTTTGTTTTCCCATTAAAGTTTTTAAAGTTATAAATGGGACATTTACATTATCAATTTCTAACTAATCGGACGCTCGTTGTTAACAATCGTTACTTGGGGTGATGGAATGCTAATATGGCGTGTTAAACTGGTGACTTGACATCATTTTACCACATAACACAGTCGCGTATATCGGGTTTGACTCCCCAAAACTGTTGATCATCCCTAAAATTGACTCTTTCAATTCCGCTATCGTCGTTAAGCTTAAAGATGTTGCTAACCACAGTCGCATGGCTCAATGAGGAAAACATGTTTGATCCTTTACAATCATGGTGGTTAATTTCAACCTATTAGTGGATCTTTTCGAAATATATATAATCTTATCCATGTAGATATGTGTTGTTGAATATGTGTACTTTAGAAAAACTTGTCTCCCATATATATATATATATATTACAGGATGGAAAAAGGTTACGGTCTCTTAGAAAGGAGAAGATTCAAACTGTGGCTTATGTCTTGCTGAGTTGTGGAAAAAATTTGTTATAGAGGAGACCGCCAAGAGCAAGTAAAATGACACCACATGTGCTGTTGAGTTGGAGAAACTACTGGAGCCAAGTGTTATCCAGTGAGGTTGACAAGGACAAGTTTGATGATGTTAATACTTGTGATCCGATCCGAATTGTTGTAGCCGTAGTATCTGTGATGTTTAAGAAGATGGATAAATCAAATGACAGCCAGAAATTTAAGTGTAGATCAATAATGTTCAACTTGAAGGATCTAAATAGGAAGGTTATTCTGAGAGAAGTGAAACCATAAAGACTCCCAAAGAAGGCAACATGAAAATAATGAAATCAAATAAAAAGCTTTATTTAATTGTGAGCGCGCGAGGTGTTGCACCAAAGGCCACGACATATCAATTTAAGTGTGGTCTTTATGGTCAACGTAAGACCACTTACTACTAAACGCAGACAATGAGTGTAGAGGAATCCCTCCTCCGCTGACGAGTAATCTAAATCCAATGTTGCCTCCATCTTCTTATTCTTCTTTGTTGGAGTTCATGGCCTTGGGATGGTGATGGTTCAGGTTCTCCTCGTTTGAAACATCAAGTGGACAGTGCTTCTGTTTGGGCTTCCAGCTTTCTTTCAGTAGCACCACACTAACAGGTATTAAGAATAATTAATTTGTTATAAATCGATAATATTAATGATTAATTTATTATTTTAAAATTTTAATTAAAAAATAAAAATAAAAAATTACTCAAATATTAGTCATTATTCATATAATTTACAGTATAATAATTAATTTTGAATTAAATGACAAAAAAAATATGTGGGTTAATTAAATAAATGCGGTTTTCCCTTTGTTTTTTCCGTGGCTTTCCGTCACGTCGGGGATAGTAGGGTAGGGAGTTGGGGTTTAACGGCGTTTGTCCTGATGTTAAAGTTGTTCTGTTTTTACGGGGGGGATCGGGGGTTTGTCGTGCTATTAACGGGCAGCTTTGGGTGGATGTGAAACTGAAAATGGGTTGAAGAGATAATGCTAAGCTAGCTTGGGTAGGGCCTAGTGCTTTCAGGTAGGGCTAGGTGTGCGTAGTTAACACCCTCCCGTGCACTTTAGTAGGTTCTGCTTTCTTGCCTTTTTCTCTACCGTGCGCAACTGAAAGCGGGATATTTTATCAAATATCTTCTAATAGGATGAATCTACATTAAATGTCTAAACATATCACTAATGTGACATATGAAATATATCAATAATTAATTTTTTATTAAGTAAATATTAAAGAATTCAAACATCACTCCATGATTAATTTATTTTAAGAATTTAATTTTAATTATAATTAGATTAATTATGAACTACTCCTTGAATTTTTAATATGAGTAAACTATACGTATAGTACAAAGTTATGACTTTTGTTCGTTTTAATATTTATATATTTAGTACCGAAGATATTACTTTTGTTCCGTTTTAGTACTTAATTTTTTTTTCAAAAAGTTTAGGTTTTAATTTGATATCTCACCGTTAAAAATTTAACGACAATGTTGATATGGCATGACATGTCAATTTTTATTATATTTTTAATTTTCACGTCATGTTTCTCTTTCTCTGTTAAAAATCATTCTTGCTCCGAGCATGAATTAAATCTTATACTCTACAGCATAAGATGTAAGACATTCAACCATTGAGCTAAGCTAGTCATTTAGATTAATTTCGTTATATTTTGTATTTAACTTCTATAATGTTATCACCACAAAATAATTATTTTACTACGATTATAAGATTAAAATTAGGATATTTTAAATTAATGACCAAAAGTTTAGTCACTCAATTATAGTGTGAATATATTTTTATTATATTGAACTTTAGTATTATTATTATATGAATGCTTAATGTAAAAATATGTAATCAAACTATACCTAAAGTTAATTTTAGGTGCCTAATGAATTTTTCAGTAAAAATATATGTCTAACGTTTTCAACGTTATACTTTTAGGTGTCTAGACCATTAACATCGTTAAGTTCAATTGTTAAGTGATTGTATTAGACATATAAAAAAATTAAATAATTTTTTCAATTTTTATAATCCCGAAACATGTCATTTAGCGGTAAAAGCACCTAAAAGTGTAACGTTGAAAACGTTAGAATTTATTTTTAAGAAAAAAATAAGCACATAAAATTAACTATGGATATCATTTAGATATTTATTTTTTACATTAAGACGAAAGAATAAATTTTAATTTTATTTGTAAACAATAAATAAATAAATAAATAATCATATTTTTTTATAAAATTCATACTAAATCATTCTAAAAAATATTAATGATATTATAAAAATATTTAAAATGATTATTTAATTTTTAAAATCATATCATTTATTTGCTTATTTTAAATAATATTAACTATTTCGATAGTTTACGCTCATGATACCGATGTCGACAATATACAGCCATGGATAGATATAATCGATAATGTTTAAGTTTCTGCAGTTCATTGATTGTTTAAAAGTATGATTTACGTGATGCGGTTGCTTGCGAAGGAAGAGTTTTGGAGTTTCATGTTCTCTCAGTTTTTTGCTTCTTAGCAATGGTATAGTTTAACATTATCCTTTCTACTAATAGATGGATAGAGCTTCTATTCTAGGGATGCCGTTGGGTACCTAAAGGAACTTCTGCAAAGGATCAATAATCTGCATAACGAGTAGGAGTCGGACTCCCAAGCTCTGGGATCACACCTACAACCAGTTTCCATCCAATGACGCCCACTCCGACTACCTTGTCCTGTCATATCAAGGAAGAAATTTGCCCTAATTCGTTACGGAGTCCCACGGCAAGGGCAACATGTTGCTTCCGCCTTTCTCGTACTGTATGCCATCAGTTCATTATCAGTTCCAGAACACATAAAGCTCCATTTAATGTGTGTGTATATGTATGTTGGTTGAAGTGAGGCTGAGAGAAGGAAAAGGTGTGAACATCCACATGTTTTGTGGGCGAACAGTCTAACACCTGGTACTTTTGCACTCCACAATGAGGGATTTGTACAACCTCGGGCCCGACATCCAGCAAGTAGTCATTAGCTGTTTCAATGGCTTCTCCAAGGATATCTTTCGAGCTGAGGTAATCTCTGACCATGTATTGCTTCAACCAACATTGCTCCAACTCTCTTTTTCCCTCACGTGCGTATTTAGACATAGATAAATTGATATAACTAATATGATACCCCGGGTCTCTTGAGTACATGAAAAAACCTTCTGAACAATCTAACACATCCATATCTGATACTTTCCCCTAGCAGGCTAATAATCTTATTTCAATCTCCCATTCTTTATTTCTTCATTTTCATTGATGTGTTCATATTTTTATCCAGCAACGCAGGGGCAGGACATCCATCCCGAGTAAATCAAAGCCGTACTTTCGGTTTCAGTAGGTTTCAACATGATTTAGGGTTCTTCAGCAACTCTATCTGAACAATAACCAAGCAAATTGCAGTTTCTTTTTCAAGTTTTACAAGTTGAAAACATGAGAGTTCCTACATTAATTTGGGATCGGTAGGAAACTAGACCTTAACTGAGTTTTTGAAAGAATAAACATTTGTTTCAGCATTTTTGAAGTTCTTTGAATGGATTTCAAGGTTTAATTGTGATAAGCTTCTCATGACTGATGGCACATTGAACAAAGTTTGAATAAACTCAGTCCCCCCACCCCACAGTCCATAGTCAACGAGCTGGTCAGTTTCTCTGTAAACAAACACTTAAAGTTCGCAAATTGTTGGGGTTTGATTCGGGTAAAACTCAAATTCCGATTTTTAACGATTTTAATATGATAGAGCATATTATTTCCTTCATCAGAGAACTTAGAATTTTATGAGACAATACATGTGAGACTATTAAAGATAGCGCTCAAAAACTTCAGAACACCTTATGAAAGCTGTACATCCATGTTATAAGGATGGGCGCGTAGTATCATTGTTGCACCATGCAATTTTCAGTTCTGAAAGCCTCAACATTTGGTCGGTTGATGTTTTAGTCAAAAATGGATCTGGCTAAAAAGCATTACTTGAAATGCACCAAATGTTATCCACGATTTAAAAAAACATGCTTTACTTGAAAAGACATCAGTATTAACCTAATTACATACACAGCAAAAAAAAAGGTTCAAACATCTGTACAGAGGGTGGTGCAGCAGTGCATGAAATTAAGATTCGGGTATACATGTGAAAATATTAAAATAAAAAACACCAAATTGCTACTAACATATCCAAAATTAGATCATGGCATCAGTGCGAAATATATCGGATTACGATTTATGAGGTGAACTTTATGCTAATATACTCACAAATCAGTTCCCAGCTTTATAGTAAGTTCATGTTCTTACAAGCAGGAATGTCACTATTGCACTCCAGATTCGTCCATCAAAAACCTGAAACAAGAAGAAACAAACAATTTTACTACGTAGATTGATTTTAGACATCATATTGAAAACAAGTTTATGATATTGCGACATGACCATATGAAGAGTACCAATAAGTGAATTTCATAAATTCTTAGCTCTAGATGCTGACAGGCAATTCACTCCTTTGCCATCTCCACCTTCAGCAGCAACTGGATTGTTATCAACCATTAAACTCAAGGGCCCTGGCTTCATCTTCTGGACCTCTTCCCTTGTGTATATACCGATCTTGCAAACCATGGCACAAAATTCCCTAATTCACATGCAAGAATTGGATGAAGTGTAAACCATATAACACAAAATAGTGAAAAATGAAATAGAAAGATGATTCTAGAAAACCCTTACTGCCAGGGATCATCGCCAACAAGCATCATATCACCCTCATTGTCAGTATAAACAACTAGCCAATTTTTTTGAGGTGGCATTAATTCGCCTCCAAATTCAAATATATGATCCAATTCAACGATCAATTCCTCATAGTTCTTGATCTTAGTAAGGTCCACAGATCTACCAAGAGAATTCCCTTGCATGAGAACCTGATAACAAAAACTAAAAAAAATTGAGCAAGTCCATCGTATATTTTATAACTGCAAGCTTGAAAAATCAAGAACGAGAAAAAGAACCTTAGTACAACTCCTAGTTGAAGCAGTAGATGAAACATTCTCCCTTGTATGGGGCTGACCCAGGTGAAATATTCTCTCCTGCTCATTAAAAGCAGAATTATCTTCGGAGAACTTTGACTTTTCAGACTTTTGATCAGATTCAAATGAATGAACTTGGTGCAATGCTGCTTGCACATGACCCACAGGCTTATTGAACACACTAACATGAGAGACTGATGGATCTGAGCCACTAGAATTACTTATGAGAGGAATACCGAAGAGCTTGCAGTTTCCTTCTCTGGACTTTCCGTTCTTATGCTCTTGAACCAGCAATGTTTTGGGCATCAAGCCTCTTGCATGGACCGAATTCTCGTAATGAGATGAGGTTAGGGGAGGCATCAACCAATTACCATGTGAGTGCTCAATCCTACGACCTTCAAGTACAGGGTAGTCACGAAAACCACCAAATCTACCATTTCCTCGTGACTGAGAAGGCACATCGGAACCTTGCAAAGGGGGGCTTGCACTAGTGTCAGCTAACTTGAGTGAGAGACCAGAGTGCGAGAGGGACCAAGAGCCAAGCTTAGCATCTTGATCTAATAACTGATTTCTCATTGAATTACCAGCTATTAAAGATTGATCGATCAAGGACGGACGACATACACGAGATGAATCAGCATTTGACCCAAAACCAGAGAGCAGATCTGTGTATGTTGGTTCATGCCTCCCAGAGGACATCCAATTCTGTGACCCAAAATTTCTTTCATCGGGGACATCATTCTCCTCATCATCTGCTGAAGGTGGCCACATCATCGACTTTTCAGCAGTGTCAGAATCATTACTCTCAGCAAATGTTCCTCTCAAGGTCGGAAATTCTTGACCTTGCAAGACCCTTGAAAACGCACTGGCTGGTAAAGGGTCTACAGTAACCTTAGATGAACCTAAAAACAAACTTGGTCAATAGATCTTTCCCAGATGAGCTATTACGTGGAAAACATGAAAATATATTACAAATCTGTCACATGAGACAGCACCTAACAGGCTATCACCTACCTTCCTTAGCAAGCACCAAATAATCGGGGGACAGGGATACGGCAACAGATCGAGGCCTCTTTGGCCTCTGCACTGAAAGGGGATTCAGGGCAGGAGGAGCCAGAGCTTGTTCAATTTTCCAAGGAGAAACTCTCTCTGGACGAGGTATGGAAGATATTTCGTCCCATCGCACCTACAAGCGATTAAAACATTGTGAATAATTCCCATGACTTGAAAATTCTATAATTTCTTTAATTATTCTTAACAAATATTAAACAATGGTCAAACCAAATAAGTCTACCTTGAGGCATCTCCATTTGGAATCTTGCCACCTTTGTGGATCAGAATCTTCAATTCCAACTATCGTCCCAGTAAACCTGCAGAACAGAAATTTGAAATACATACTCGGCTAGTTTTCGCATCATGTTGGAACGCATACCCTTAAACAATAAAATACTAGAAACTTAATGAAAAATTGTTTTGAAACAGCCATATAAGGAAGATAGGTCCCATACCTCTGCTCAGGAGATTCTTCACCTTCAAATCTCATTTTGAACCTCATCCCTATCGAGTAATTGTTCTTTACAGATTCCATGTACTGATCAAATGGAACAATAAATTCGGCTGGACTTGTCCTATAAGAGACAAGAAACTGAAATTAATTCCTTAAACAGAAACGTCACTTTAACTTTTATCACCCGATAATCTATTTTGAGAAATTAAACATGTCATGCAAGTAAAAATAACTCGGCTTGAAAAAATGGTAGATTGATCTACAAACCTAGGTTTGTAATACACAGTGAATATGGTTCTTGTTGAGAAGGCATGCCATGCTGTAGCTAGCACACCAAGATGCATGCTATGACTTGATATTACGGACGAAGGAACATTCCCATGCTGTCTCAATGCTCGTCGTACACCAACCCGTAGCTCTTCATTCTCACCTCTAGAAAATATACATGCATTTTCACGTTTAAGCCCTCAAGCTCAAGCAAAAAATTCAATGCTAAAACGCCATATTTCAAAGCACATTTGAGGAAAAAAGAAAAACCTTAAAAATATAAACGCATCCCCAGCAATAAGCTTCTTGGAGCTAACGAAAACACTCCAACCACTTTGAAGCAAGTGTCTTCGTGGCTGACCTGGTATTATCATAGTAGAACCAAACAGTAAAGAAAGGGATTTTTACAAGCAAATTGCAGCTTATTTTGTAAAAAAGAAAAAACAAAGGCCAGAACTTGTGAGCATATTTTAAAACCAAACTCCTTGAATTCCATGGCGCATTAACTATAAGCATGAAAACCAATTAGGCTTATGGCATTACCCCTGAAGATATGACGGAATCGCCACTCATTTCCATGCAAATCCTTAGTAACCAACTCCTGTGTTGGAGGTTGCAGAGACATGTCCTGTTAAAGAAAAAACCCAAAAGAATCACAACCAAATCATCATAATAAAAGAAAAGGAAACAAAAACAGGAACTAGACATAAGCAACAGACAGACACAAACCAATGGTGGAAGGCATTCATCTGCATGCCGCCTGAGAACCGAAAACCCACCGTGGGTGCTCGTATCTGAGGCAGTCAGGGTCTTGCAAAAGGAATGCACTTGGAACCGTGGGGGTTCAGGAATGGGAGGTTCCTTGTTCATTATGTTCTCATCTTGCTAGAAACATCAGATGAAGCAAAGAACAAAACATTAGAAACTCAACTCTTCCTCAACTCAGAACCTAAAGCCCCAAAAAGAAAAACAGAGTCCAAACTTACAGTAGGTTCAGGAAGTAAAGTTACTTGTGCAAAAACCTCATCTGTATCCGGTTCAGCCTAACAACAAAAGGTTATTCATCTCATTAGTAAACCAAATCCGAGAAAAAAATAGAAACATGCATAAAGGAGGTGAAAGGTACCTTTAATTGAACGTTAATCACACGACAAAGGATCTTTGATGGAAGATCATACAGTGGCATCTGTTGGTCTGATGCCTGATTAGTAGATGCCTCAACCTGATTCACCAGAAACACTAACGTTAGGAAGCAAATTAAAAAAACAAACCCCGAAATGGAAGATAACTTCTCAATGTGATCTTGAGGAAGAAGAAAACAGGAGACAAAAAAGTAAAAGAGAAACCTGTTCTATGTGACCTTGAGGGAAGTAGAACACGCGATCTCCTTCGCGAGAGACCGTCACCAGAGGTCCAGCACATGCATTCCATAGCTCCTTATACAACGCCGTTTCAGGGTCTATGTTCCCACATACGAATCCAAATAAATATTAAAAAGGCAGTCGACAAAAACCCCAGAAAAAGGATAAATAACTCGAGATTAACAATTATGGATAAAAGGAAAGCCGGAACCGGAAGTTGAAAGGAAGAAAGGGGTCATACCTCTGACGGCAGCTGAACGAGCACAATGACCATTCTGCCTCTCCATGGCGTTCCTATCATCATTTTGCTCATTGTAACCAGAAGAAAAATTCTCTCTTCCGTTTACACAATTTCCTTTTGTTGATACTTCCGAAATAGTCATTTTTTCCCAAAAGCTTTCAGCTCAGATCTCTCATTTGATACACTCTAAAGCTCCTCAATCGACAACTAAAAACCATAACTCCAATTTCCACACAATCTACCAGCAACACCGTCGTTAAATCACTAGTTTCACCTTTTCACCACACGAAATCAACACCTTGACGAAATTTAATCACCACAAGCCTGTATTTCTCTCAGTTCATCAAGCAATCTTCGCGATTTCAGCACCAATCAATCAAAATCCACTTTTTTATCTATAGTCGCTTTCACTCTTCCATTTCTGAAAAACAAAAAAACCTAAGCCTCTCTATATTCTTCTCTTCCACC